ACCAATTTCTTTTTTTTCAAACTTAAATTCACATATGTTGAAAAGCTATTCATCTAAGTCTATGTCTTCAATAAAATGTAGTACATGTTTAGATATTGATCTACACTTGTAAAGAAGAAATCAGCAACATATCAATACATTTATGTTCCTATAAATATATAATGTTTGCCAGAGTAAATCTGGAGGTTTTTGTTATAATTTAATAAAATGTGTACAATTTTTTTTTATAGATATATATTGAAAATGGCACAAAATTACAAATTTAAACACCAAAGAAAACTTCCGATGTCTTAATATTTTTAGAATTTATTACTTATGCCATTATTGTTCAACATTAGTCAAAAATATAAATCAATTAATGCATGGGAATTTACGTTTTTGTTATGGATCGTAATAATACAAATATTTTGCTATCTTATGTTCTGTATGCCTTCTGTTGCTCTGATATTTGCTATATGTTGAATCATCATCATTAGTCTCCGATATCAATGTAATGCATTTCCTTGTAATACAGCATGTAACCATTAGACGATTACTAAGTATTTCTTGTGTTATTATTGCCACATGCTTCAAATGTAAAAAAAAAAAAAAAAAAAAAAAAAAAAAAAAAAAAAAAACAGATAATCTTCTGCATTTAATGAAGGTTAAATTAATTGCAAAATCTAAAAATGTATATTCAACATTCAATGTAACTACATATTTCTTACATCATACATAATTTTATTTTATAACCCAGAGTCAATTTTTATTTAATTGTAATGTTTTTGTATAATATTTATTCTAAAGTTTTATTCTCCTAACATTAATGATGAAACCATGAAAAGACCGCACAGAAATGAATCTTTCGAACGTGAATAATATTTCGATTTTGGTAAAGAGAATGTTGCTTTTTTCATTGATTGACATTACTGCACTGTCCTCACCATTTTGAACCAGTCACGGTAGCCTACTGGTAGGGCATTCGCTTCTTGGTCGAGAGGCCCGGGTTCGATTCTGGTTCGCCGCGTCAAACCTAAGACGTACACATAAGTAGATGGGCTTCCTTTGCCAAGCGCTCGACATAAGAAGGGAGAGCTACAGGTCTTTCGGGTCGGACACCAATAACCAAGGTCCCTGTCACGCTAGGCGTTGGCTGGATTAAGAACCCTCACTGCTCAAAGGCCCTGCGTGTCGAGTATAGGTCTTTATATGAGTAAAATATTATAAAATTCGACGCAAAACAACATAACAATCATTCAATGCTTTGATGACTTGATGATATGTTGTCAATAACATCTAGGGGGAACAAGAGACGTTGAGTTTGTGTCATTCTAACGATCATTTGATACAGAACTTTAGGAACCTTTTATTTTCCCACGGAAATATTGTGCAAATGAACAGAGATCGAAAATAGAGAAAATTGACATATCCTACGAGCAAAAAATATGGAGGCGTGGATCGGTATATATTTTAGAAATTATTCTGGATGTAGGCACTAGAGGTTATCTAAAAGTTCGTGGACTATCATTATAAAAATAAAACCATTGAATTTTTGAATTTTTAATAAGCATCACCTTTTCTAGCTATACAATAAACTATAAATCAAGTGTTTTTGTAAACAGGGTATGTCCAGGTGGCGCAGCCTCGAACATGACGTATTTTCTTCTCGAGCGAAACTGAAAAAAAAAACTGATAGAGGCATCTGTGTCATCTAAAAAATCCGGTTTATTCACTCCTTTGGTATGGCACAATTGCTTTGCAAAATTTGCAATTTTTATTTCCTTCTGTAAGTTCTGTGAAAATGTATCGTAAATTTTATATGGGATTTCAAATCAATTGAGGGGGTAAAATGGCGTCAGAAAGGGCTTAGGGGTGTCTTTTTCCAACATTCTTTAAAGTTTCACCCCTGAAAAACCTGGCATAGACCTCGAAAATGATTAAACAGGCTACTGAGAAATAAAATGCATCTAGAGTACTTGTTTTTAAATCCCAAAAAAGATTCAGAGAGAGGAGAGACGCACAGTTAATGTCGATTTGTAGTCAAGGTGTCCAAAGTCACGCCGAAAAAGTGACGTTGATCATATGTGGTAGGCATTGAACTCCAGCATGCAAATTATGCTGGAAGAAATGAGAATCTCTCGCTACCTATAGATCCATTTACAATATTATATGCATTGAAGTGAGCTTTTCATGACAATGTTAAGTCATAAAAACAAGAGGGGTTTGTCTTTACTTAACTCCAGGGTATCTCATCAAAATAAGTGTATGCAGGCAGTGGGAGCGGGCATTGTAAAACAATGATGTTGTTGGACTTCATGAAACTAAACGGCGACTGCGCCGAGTGATCATGTAATGATTTTTTTTATTTAATGATCATTTGGCAAATTATCAACGTACAAAGCGGAAATTTTAAACACTTTTTAATCTTTTGTTGTTTGATGTTCCTTTTAAATTTTGTAAACACCGACTACATAGTATTAATTTTATTGCATCAGTCCACGAACTTTTTTTGATAACCCCTCGTAAATGATGCATATACCCATTATCAAATTTCTAAATTATGAAGGAATTGTAAACATTCTATGATTTTTTTTTTGTATTTTATTTTTTGACCATCAGCCTTATAAATCAAATTTTTTAATGACTTTATAGGACATAATTGAGAAACTTTGAATGAAAAATAAAACTTTATGCGGCTAAACTTATACTTTTAACTTATACGAACATAGATTTAGTTCAACTTGTTAATTTCATGATTCACTAAAAACAGTTTGTATTACTTGTATTTAAACATTACAAAAAATGAAAAGACTGATGATACCGTATTTATCTCTCTTAGATAAAACTGAAATGGAGCTCTATAAGGAAAAGGAAGTTCATAATAAGCTTATTTGCTTCTAGAAAAATTAACATTTCCATGTTGAATGCAATTGTGTGCTAAAACAACTAACTGAATTGTTCATCATGAAGTAACACAATTCTTTACTACTGAATGTTTTAAGTTAATGTACGAGGGCCGTTCAAAAATTACGCGGACTCTGCTATTATTTACTCTTACCGACCTCAATAGTAATGAAAGTTCACAGAAACATATTTCTTAAAGATTCCAATAAATTTTTGGTAAATTTTTTTGGATTTTAATTAATTTCTTCCAAAATTATTGCTGTTTTGATATCGCTGATGGTGATGTACGGAGCACGACAAAAAATTTGAAATACAAACGTGCAGAATCCAAAATGTTACTCATTTATTTTCTGTAATTCGCAATATAAATCGACATTTTTCTCAAAGATGTCTTTTTATTGTTCTATTATTATAGGTTTTTTAGATTTCTGACGTAATATTTGAAGTACTAAAAGAAATATAGTGATTTTTTCCAATTCGATTCCGATGAAACAGCTGCAAAAATGACGTCTCGTAAATTGACGGAGCTGCGCACTTTCATCAAATTATGTGTAATGCTCGAGAAAACACCAACATAGACCCAAAAATGCTTGAGGAAACATGTAGTTAACCATGGTATTCCCGACATCTGTCTACAAATATCAAAGCTGAATATTAGACGGTTAGACACCAGTAAAAGGCAATCTGGGAGAGGGGGAGTGGATCATCGAAGAAAACTTTAACTGTACTCTTAAGAACGTGATTGAGATCTACCAAATTCAAACAATATTTTAGAAATATCGGCAGAGTTATGATTTAAATCAAATAATATATACTATTATAATACTAGTTTTATAAATTTAAAGCTTGACCAGAAATGGTACATGTATATGGATGTTTATGCTGAGTGGATAAGGTAACCCAACATGTACAGTATAAACTCTGAGGGAAAATGTTGAGAAAATGAAAGCTCACATTTACTATAATGCCCATGACGCCGAAGATTTTACTGCACCGTGACTTCATGATATTTCCTGTTAAATCACCCAAAATTGATATCAATTTACAACATTTTGATATGAAATTTTAGTGACCATATAAGTAAATGTTCTTTTGTATTATGTGTGACTTTTTGCCTGATTATGTGGTCAAATATTTTTCCTGCGCAACAAGTCCGCATAATTTTTGAATGGCCCTCGTAGATGTACATGACGAAACTTTTTGTCATATCCAGGTAGACACTATTTATTGAAAAAAAAATTAAGGATATGAATTATGTTGGAAATCGTTATGAAAAAATATAAATTAGTTTAAAATTGGAAAAAGTATTCTCATGTTGCAGTTCATTAAGGATGGCAAGCTTCCGCTTAAACACATGTGCAATTTATAAAATAAACAACAAAAAATATTTAAAACCAGCCATTATACCCGAAAACCTACAATAAGCTTGAAAATGGGAGGACACTACAGTTATTGTAAGACTTCTAGTAAGTTATTTCTCAATTTTTGAATGAATAACATGGCTTGATTTATTTCAGTTACTTATTATCCATTCTTATATATATTTATTTCTGCTTATTTCTTTGTGTCACCACAAGTTACCTGAAATAGGCCATCCTAAATGCAACGATTTGAATTTGAATAAAGTATTCTCATAATTTTCATCTTTCTCTTTTGTTTATTTTTAGGTTGCCGTTACATGTACCATGTAAAACGTATGTAATTATCAAACATATGAACCATAATTACCATCTAATCTTATTAATGAGCGCCAGCATGTCTTGACAACTTTTGTTTGCCGAAAGAAATGTATAAAAATTTCAGGTCTTTGAATGTCTCAAGATCTCTAAAATGACAAATTATATAATAATGATATTTGAAAAGGTATTTGAAGGCACTACAGGTAGAAACATTATTTGTAATGAATTATTATTATTATCCAGAGATCAGCGTCAATTTCTTTGTATTTTTCCCTGAATTATAGTTGTCTAATCAAATAAATCTGAGGTACATTTCACTTTAACTGACACAGATAATTTATATTCTATTCTGAAAGCCAAATTAACTTTAAAAAGAAAAGTTCAGTTTTAGATGAAATAGAATATTCGTATTAATGTTTGATTAATTGTTTTATAAACATGAATTTCTTAAACATAGGTGAGGTGGAATTAAACCCACTGCAGAATCAGAATGAAGGTAAATCACATGGTCATTTGGTGTTCATATAATGTCATGTAGGTTTTTATAAAATATGAAAAAAATTTCTTGTGTAAATATTGATCTAATGAACTTTCTATGTGAAGGAAATTTTTGTTTAGTAGATTATTTTTCTTTAAGCATATCTACTGGTATATAATATCTGAAATTTGCTATATGCATTCTAGACAGACTCATTTAATTTTTTCCCTTTTATCTCTCTCTCTCTCTCTCTCTCTCTCTCTCTCTCTCTCTCTCTCTCTCTCTATATATATATATATATATATATATATGTAGTGTAACAAATAATTAAGTTTTTTATGAATTAATTAGTTTTTGCGATGCAAAGAGCAACTACCCTCTGTTTTGCAATTTTGGCTGTCAAAATGTGTATGAGCAAGCGGTTCAACAAAACTCCTCAGAGTCCCGAAGAAATGAAACTAAAAAGCCTTTGGATCGAGGGAGTCGATAAAATCAAAGACACCAGCGGAATTCCCAAAGGTTTTAACCCATCCAAGGAAACAGATGTCATCGTACATGGATACCTAGTCAACAGCTATCTACCGCTCTTGCAGACCTTAGCTCAACGACTGAAAAAAGTAAGAATATCTACAAAAAAATATTTTGAATTCCATTAATTACAACAATCATTCTAGATTTAAAATGTTTCATTTTCGCAATAAAGCGGCAGTTATGCCGTAAAAGGAGACAAAATTTTACACTTCAATAGTCATCTCCTAAAACAAATGTAAAAATTTTCCTGTAAATTATAGCAAAAGGATTTTGATACATGTGATAATATTGATGCATTTTTTTTCCAGAAAAACCACAATGTTTTGTTGATTGACTGGGAGCTTGGTGCTCATAGGAACTACGCTCAGGCCGCTGCTAACACTCAAACTGTCGGGGCATTTCTGTACCAAGTTCTGAAAAAGAACAAAATTTCCTGGAACAAAGTCCATATCCTGGGTCAAGGACTGGGAGCCCATGTCGCAGCGGAAACAGGCAAATTATCGAAAGCAAAAATTGGCCGAATTACTGGTACAAAATTGTATATCTTGTTTATTACAAAAATTATTTATGTTTCATTCCCACTCCAAAGCCGTAGCGTAAAAATGCTTAATGTCCCAAAATACAATTTCCGAGCTCTCGTGCTCAGTCCAAGGGAAGATAATCATAGGATATTTAGCATAGATCTTAACTGGAAATATTAATTGATCGGTTTTAAAATTGACAAAGCTCCGTCTTTATTAGTCCTCTACCGGTGAAACAGAGGACTCGGAGACTATAGGTTTCCTCCTCGTCCGTCTGCCTATCTGTCTGCAGTCTGTCTGTCAGTCTCCAGTTTCCCAAACATTTTTTTAAACGCTTGCAGATATGAAGCTGATTTTTAGTATGTGAGTGTATCAAGATTAGTTACCATCACGTTTTACATTTAAATTCGCTTCAATGATCTTTGATAGACTTAAGGCGTTTTTAATATTTACGGTTTTTTCGCCCTTTTTTCTGAACTCTTGCAGATATTGAACTAATTCTTGTTATGTGGATGTACCTTGAGGAGTTAAAGACTAAGTTTACTTTCATTTCGCTTCAATGATTTTTGAAGGAATTATTGCCTTTAAGTTTTTAAATTTTTAACAAAGAACCAGATTTCCAACTTGGTTTTCGGCACTTTTTCCAAACATGCTTGCAGATATTGCGCTGATGTTTATAGTACAAACTTTGATTTACTAGAGTAAAAACGTTGATACTATAGTAAACTAAAGTTAACTATTGTACTCTTTATTTTCCCGATTCTTATTATGTAGCACATGTAACTTATATTTGTTTTTAGTTTAGAGTATGTGTCGATATAAAGGACCATATTTTCAATCTGATTTTTTACCTACAGTGTATCCCATTCCTAAGTTTCCGGCTGTCAAAAAAACTATACATAATTTATTTTGTTCATTAGAATCTCGAAGTGAGAAAAAATGAACATTATCTATTAGAACGAAATTCTTTTCAATGTTTTTGTTAAAACTCTTGAATTATATAGAGAATAAGAAAATTAAGTTCAAAACTAGGTTGCATATGATCTTAAATACAGTAAAACCAGAGTCCCGTTACATCATAGGTCTCGATCCTGCTGGTCCTCTGTTTGAAGCATCCTCGTTCGGGATTAATAAAGGATCTGCTCAATTTGTGGATGTCATTCACACGGATTCACGACCGAACGGTGAGGAAAAAATTGGTTTCCTGTGCATAATTTTTTAAGTTCTGATTAGGAAGTCTTCAATATACATGTATAATAAGGAACACGAATAATCAGTGATCCGTTTGTTTTTTCCTTAATTAGAATGTTTGATTTCGGCATATTGATCATAACGTTCATCATTTAAAATGCTTCACAAGATTGAAACAGATTAATAATTTTCTGTAAAATGCCAAAAATAACATTTTTAATAGGAAACTTTTCTCTTCACACAGTGTAAACAAATTTATTTTTTAAATCATATACACACAATGTACTCAGGTTATGGAATTCAAAAGCCATGTGGTCATATAGATATCTATGTCAATGGCGGAAGGAGACAACCAGGATGTACCTATAATCCAAAGAATCCTGTAAACATCCACGACCTTAAAAGTAAGCCCTCCTAACTTCATTTTCAAGAGCAAAATACCTTTCATTATATTTTAAATGTTTTTTTTAATATCCATCTTATAACTTATTTGCGTAAAATTAACTTATTAATTTTCAATTTCTCTGTTTTTATCCTGTAAAACTGAAAATAAAAAATGTTTATTTTTAGAGGCGACAATCTACAAAGCCTGTGGTCATGTGAAGGCAATTGGATATTACATCGAGACAATAAAGGACAGCTGTAAGTTACGAGCGTGCGAATGCACATATAAAAGATTCCTTGCATCGAAGTGTAGCAAGGACAAATGTGTGTTCTGGGGTGATGACGCGACAAAAGCTGCCGCTGGGGCGTATTATGGCGTCACAGCTACGTCCTTTCCGTACTGCAGAACAAACGGAAAGGAGTGATGAATTATCCAACACACAGTTTTTAAATCGAATTACTACTCTGCATCAAACTTTAATTTTAGATCGCATCTCTTGCATATTAAGTTCTTTTATGATGTGTCTGTACATCATACATTCGTATGACTATTTCCCTGCGCTTCAATAAAATGTCTGCATCCAATTGTAATTTTTTTCTGAAACAAGCTAATTATGTTTGATTTGAACGTGTGGCCTTTGAAATATACAAAATGTGATTATGCTACAAAGAATGGTTTGTTTCTGTATACAAAGCTACAAGTAGTTTAATCATTCATAAATGTAACATTTTAATACCACAGGCGATATAAAGCATTATACAATAGCAATTTTTATCCTTAGAAGATAAAACTAATGCTGTTTTAAATCATTACCTTGTACGGTTTTTCCTCAAAATTTTCAAACAAAAGTTATACATGGCAATCCTTTATATAGTAAGCATAATAGATAGAATTATACTAAGATAGAATGACATTCCTTGTCTATTACATAGACTGTTTTACTATCAAAAAGATGGTTATTAATATCTATCTATCTAATCAATATCTATATTTTGCAATAATTTTATAATAGGTACCAAATTGGTAAAATCCATGTATAAGGTTGACATTGCATATGCAGGTATTTTACATATTAACATATTTTACATATTAACACATTAACATATTTTACATATTAAGGTCAATTTCGAATTTGATCGTGGTCCGATGATTTTTGACAGAGTTATCCACCGTCAATTTGGAAAAAATAATTAAATTCACAATTTGAAATCATAATCTCGGCTACAAGTGTGCAATTTCAATTTGCAATTTGAAATTTTGGCTGCCTGCGGGGGAAGGGGACATTCGTGGCGTTACGACACATCTAGTTTTTATCATAATTTCAGGCATGGTTGAAAATAAAGCTTAGATCAAACAATAAACGAGAGGAATAGAGACCAAAGGGAAAGGAGGTTATCAAACAAAGTTTATTATTATTATCTGTTAAGCACACAATAATATCTCTATAAATGTATCGTTCAGCATATATCACTTGTTTACAAGATTATGCAATGGATACAGTTTTCAACGCAATAATGTAGACGTCACACTAGTTTTGACGTACAAGTTATGAATTCTAATGTGGAATAAATATAAAAAAGATTGTAAAACTTGCAATAAAGTTGTGTAAAACATGTGATGAAAAAGAATATCCCTTGATTTGTCATTGGCTATTATTTTTATCTAATTCTTCGTGTGTTTTAATCCCTCGCTCAGGTTCGGCGATAAAAAAAAAATACACACACAGACAACTCATTGGACGAAAGTTATATCTAACCACAAACCATGAGATCAGATATAATTGGAAATACAGTATGAGGGATTCTGTTTCGGGTATGCGGGGAGATCTGTTTCAAGGTGCTAACTGATCTGGAAGCAAACGATAATTCATGCATAACCGGCTCACGTGTTCTAAAAAAATTCTTAATTGCATTAATTACATTCCTTATTGTATGTGTAGTTCATTATCTAAAGTACTAAAAATGTGCATAACTTGTAGTGGACATATAAAATTATATTCATATTGACTGAAAATAATTTTGAAAAAAAATGAACTGCTGAGGTCCAAGGAGTCACTTAAAGTTCATTATTTGGTATAGGATAATCTTAATGACATAAATGTCTTTTATTGCTTTATAAATTTGTCAAGTTTAGATGTCTTAATGTCCAATATCGCTCCGCAAAGTATGATATTATTGATGGCATTTTACATATAAAATACATTTCTTCTCGAATATCATAAGAGTTAAAGAAAGCAACATTTTATATGATTGAGCAGAGGGTTAATGAACCTTAAGGAAAAGTCCAAAAATCTTCGATAGTTTTTTTTAATTTCATTTAATAAGGTTTTATTTGTGTTTTCAGATTTTTCCCCCTAACTTTTTAGGAAGTTCAACTTACAAAGAATAATTACAATTCTTTCTTTCTTATTATACTAATAAAACAGGGTCTGAATGCCATTTCCGTGTACAGTTATGTATGCATAGAAACTCACATAGTTGTGTCTTCACAATGGAGGTCCCAAAATTATATTAAAAATGGAAAGGTACTTGAGAGCAAAAAATTCGTATCTAGGGTGAATTTTACGTGTTTCTAGATAAGAAAAATATAATTTTTTATGTGCTTGTTATTGGTGTGTAAATTGCAGAGACTTGTGATGCAGGCGCGCGCTCTTAATGAAATAAGGATATTTGCTAAGTCTCGGTGAACTGCACAATAACACCCATAAAACTTACACAAATTCCTTAAAACCACTAAAGAATGCATATTTTAAGAATATCTTCTAATCATTTATACAAAATTAAACGAAGAAAAAGTTTCATGCAAGTTTATATAAATTAACGTCAAACACTTTTTCCCTTCAACTGACGGAATTAAAATAAAACAATTTATCACATGTGTTCCATGGTTTGTTCAAATCAAAACTTAGCATAGGTCATAAATATGTTAAAAATACATAACAATGAAAGTGTTGCCAACTTATCCATTTATGACTTGTGCATGCATTCGCTTGAGAATAATGACTTGATTTCATGAATTTTTCCATTTTGAGAGATCAAAGTTCTAGTTATAGAGCTTTTGATGCTCTGATGTGCAGTAGTGTATATTGATTTGATTAGTGGCATGATCAATTAGGTAACGGACGAACCCAGAGTCATGTTAACAAGCAAAATCAGACAAGCAGACTCCACAAGTGTTCGTGGACATATACACATTAGCCAAAGGGATTTTTCATTTTCTTGTTCTACGAATTCTCCTCTATACTCATAATCTGTCCAAAGTGAAAATTGAAATAAATAAATAGTTTCTCGATCCATGTGACTGCGTTTTGTCCCCCGCTTTCTCAAAACTGATGGGACATTAAATCTTATTCGTCTGTCGGTATGTCTGTCAGTCTGTCTGTCTGTCAGTCTTTCCGTCTTTCAGTCTGTCTGTCTGTCTGTCACAAAAACTTTGACCTTGGTCATAACTTTTGAATGAAAAGAGATAGGGCGTTCATATTAAATATGTATATTACCCGTGACAAGACCTTTTCATATATACTACATTGTATGATTTTTGACCCCGTTACCTTGAACTTAAACTTGACCAACTTTGTTAAAATTTTAACATTACCTTAAATTGGCCATAAAATTTGAATTAAAAAAGATAGGGCTTTCATTTTACATATGTCTTTTACCTGTGCAGTAAAGCGCTCTCCGTGATCGGAAGGCCGTGAGTTCGAATCACAGCCGCAACTGACCTAAGTCGATAAAAAATAGGTAGCAACTGTTTCTTCACCTTCCTTCCTTGATTCCATGACCTTGATCTCGAAGTTTGAGGTAGCTTTGAGAAGCTATAATCTTTTCCATAATTATTATTATTTCAAACATTTATGTCTTTTTTTATGATGCACAAACAAGATAGTTACAATATGCTATAAATAATACCATCCCATCCACTAAGACACCGAAAGCAGGGGACCACAATTCTTTGAATTTGCTTGTCTCTATCTATTTCTACTATTTATCCTGTATTGTAATCTCTCTATTTTCCAATCCACTGGACAAATTTCAGCCAGAATTAGGAACGAAACACTGTTGATGAAAGGACTCAAATTTATTTTAATGAATAGCCGTATACTCTTCCTATAGAAGTTATATTATTAGAAGATAAATCAAATAAAGTGATTAAAAATCTTTCTTAAGGTCACCGATCCAAAGAATGAAAAAAACGAGATTAGCGTTTCACTTTTCAACATTTCATTTGATATTTTGATTGAATTTTCATGTCACATTAAAAAAAGCCCTTTAAAATATCACTGACGTACAAATGAAATATGTACCTTCAGAACATTGATTATTTGTCAAAATAATTGCCACAAGCTGCTCATTCTTTGCTTTGATAACGTTACCATTGATGCGGAATTGCTTCAGTCACGTAACATGTATACCCATTCCTATTCAAAGTGATCGGGTTACTAAAATGTTAACTTGCCATAATTTTTCATGAAGTAATAGGACTAAAATGCGAAGAAATATCAATTCAATTTACTATTTCTTGACATGCGTTAATTTAAATGCGAATGCGGAAAGCACTGCTCAGATACACGTGACAGCAGCTGGACAATGTCTTGTAACAGACCGTCATGTCGTCCAGGTTCTAAATCCAATAGGACAAAAACAATGTGTCAGAAAATGTCTACAAAATCGTCAATGTCAGTCTGTAAACTATAAACGAAAACAACTACTTTGTGAGATTATCATAGCAAAATATGGAGATCAGGATGTTTCTCTTGTGACGAATGCTGATTGTGATTACATAGAAATGGAATCCCAGGAAAAGGTCGGTATACATGTAACACTACACTTGGCAATATTTTTAAATTAGAAAAGAATAAAATGTCCGAAGCTAGCTAGATATTCAAATAAAGAAATTAAATTCCCTTTACTATCCAGGCCCAAGGATCATGAAATAAACTTAGACGTAAGTCAAAATTTCAAACATCTGTGAGATGGTCATTACCCGTGAACTGAAACTCTTAATTTGCAGACAACAGCAGTTTGTTGACGCAGTGCTTAATATGTTTAATAACATTTTAATTTTGGACTGTTTGACTTCAAAAACATTTTAGCACAAGAAACCGTTTTTGACTTAAGGTTAAGATGCTTCATGATCCCGGAGCCAGTTTATATATCAATTTTTAGTAATATTTATGTAATCATTAACCTTATAAACATTATATCTCTACACATTCGTATGATTCACATTAAATTTCAGGCTATTTATGCATGATTTTGCAATATATTTGTGAGAAGTTAAAGCTAGAACAGAATGTATACCCCTATACTTTTTCTTCGCTAATTAGAGTACGTCAGGAATTGCTGCTTTTGATTATGACTAGATATTCTATATTTAAAAAAAAAATGAGATATTGTTACAAAAAGAAAAGAACAATTAGATCAAAGAATATCGTGTTAAAAATATTAGGCCCGACCTGTTATCAATCAGAGCAATTAAATTAGCATTTTTTATTAATCAATTACACAGGACCTTGGAGGACTTTGTAGTTCATCTTCCTGTGAAGGAGAGTGTGTGCTTCTAAGAAGTGGCGAAACGTTCTGCAACAAACGCCTCCATTGTAAGTATCTTCTGCCACAATTAAGAGGATGGTCCCAGAAGAACGCGAACATTTTCAATATTCTTTTGCTTCACTAATATTATAATGTTCAAAATTGGCATACACAATAATCAATATTGTTTTACATAATAAATAGAAATTTCAATAATATATCCATATTAATAACGTTACACTATCTGATAAACGAATCATTCAGAAATCTGTCGGCACAACTCCGACGATGTCAAAATGTATCCCTTGGTGTTGGTGAATTCGTTCAGGAATTGTGAGTTTTTAAAAATTAGTTTTATAGATAAATTGGATACTGCACTTGATTTTCATTATCCATTTCACGCATACACTAATTAAGTAAAAGTCAAGGAATTCTCCTAGTTTTCCAACTCTTATCAAAAACTTAACTGATCGCCTAGTTAACGTCCGTCTCCTCCTATGATGTCCAGCTCTAGACTTTTCAAAATGTCGCCATATTTGTGGGTCTAGCAAATGTCTCATTAATCGGATAACTAGACCGTCCTTCTTAAAACAATTTTTTGGTTAGTATAAACCATTGTTCAATGCATGTTTGTGTCGTTCCATTGTCTCCATCTCTTTTCCCGTACGAATAGGAATCATACCCCGCTCAACACAGTACAGATGAATAATTTGGTGCATCGCATTATCGCCCGACGACGCCGTTTATGACAATATCTAAAGTAATAGTGTTTGTGTATATAACGTCATATTTTTTTTTAATTTATGATGTCAAAATAATATTTTTTACCATGAGTACTCTACATCACAGAGTTTCTATGAATGTAATTTTTTAAACATATTTCCATAAAGCATGGTAATAAAAAAACATCGCTAGTAATGCTATTTTCCGAAGTCAAAAAATTGCCGAGCTCCGACCACCAAATACTTAATACTCTTTAAATGCTGTTTCAAAATGCATAGGACATTACAACCTTATAGTATTTTGTCAAATGATGAAAATTTCATTTCCAAACATTGTCCAGAAAATGAATGATTTTGGTCGGGTAGATTATAATGAAATGTTTAAAAAGTTCGCATTTTTCTGGGACAACCCTCGTATAATCCTTGTAAATACCCATTGCAACAAATGTTGTAATCCTTGTTAATACCTGTTAAAACAATTTTTTTCCTAGTAAGTGCCTTCTGCAATAAATGCAATCATTGTAAATATCCATTTCGACAAACGTTATACTTGTAAATACCTATTGCATCAGATGTAATCCTATTAAGTAACTATTGCAAAAACATAATCTCTGTAAGTACCTAATGCTTGTAAGTACCTATTGCAACAAATATTATCCTTGTAAGTACTAACAAAGTAAATATATTCCTCCTTAGTACCTGTTGCAAACAAATGTAACCATTGTAGGTACCTATTGCAACAAATGTCATTAAAGTGTAATTCTTGTAAGTATCTATAGGCTCGCTTCAAAGAACATGCTCTTGTATCGAATCAACTGGAGAACATAAACTCCTTTCGCGGTGATATTGGTATATGCTACATAAATAAGGGTAATAGATGATAGAAAAATGAAGTCATCACGTTTATATTAACGACAAGTTCAATTAGCCATCAGTTTCTTTATTAAAACATTGAAATATGCATCACATGTAATCATTATCAGCACATAGTGCATCAAATGTAATCTTTATAAGTACCTTTTATGTACTTACTGCAACAAATTAATTTTTTAAGCACCTATTGCTACAAGTTTAATCCTTCTAAGTACCTATTTCAACTGAAAGTTTCTTCTGCAACAAACGAAAACTTGTTTAGTACATATATCGCAATTCTGGAAAGTTCAATTTGCAACAAACACAACCATTGTAAGTCCTTTTATCAAATGCATTTAACGATTTCCTCTTGACACAGATGAATATGGCAATCATAATGCCATGTTCTCTCGCAGATCGATTACTTATATCGATTTTGCATTCTATGATGTTGTCTAGAATGACAGAAGAAAGACTGGCTGTTATTTTTACGTGTCATTTTTACCCATCTAGCCTACATGTATTTCAAAAACAGTATGACCTCACCAGTTGAAGTATTTTACCCCTCTGACTTATCAGTAAAGAGAAGAAAAGAAGGTTATGTTTTTGTGTTATTTTTGGCAAGTTCTCTTTATTTTACTTTTTGAGTTCAAATAAATTTTGAAATGTAAATAAACGTTGTTAACGAGGTTCGCTCCTGAGCTTTTGAGCAGATTTTTGTCTTAACCTATATTTAAAAAAGTCTGCATAATGTTTTAGTTCTTACAATAAATTTGGATTCTACAATACCAATTAAAATAAATTCAGTTAAAACTCCATGATTAAATTCCATACCAAAAGCATTAAGTGAGGAACTATATTTTGTGGCGGAAGGTTTTTTTTAGAAGAAAATGATCATTTTTTTCTCTTTCGAAGTATTTAAAGTATGTTAAGTTTGGATTCCTATTTTTCCATGCAGCCTGCCAACAGAGTTACTCTGTGCCGTGAATTGTTTTATGCTGGTCCTAAATTATATATCAAATAAACTGTCATGAATTCTATCATCATATTTGATAAATACAGCAAATATATTGTGAAAATCCAGAAAAAAATAGCCCTACTTTAAGCTTAAAATTAGCACTATTTTAGTAAAATCTAAAAATTAACATCACAGACCCCCACTTTTAATTTTCTTTTCTGAATATATAAGATACTTTTAACCATTCCTCTTAAATTCATTAAAATGTCATTACTTTCAAATGATTTTATTGCTTGGTAAACTTTTAATGCCAGAAAAATAACATTTTTTGAGTGCAAAAAGGTCAAATAATTGAACATGCGAAGTAATTTGAAATTTTTTTGTTGTCACAAATTTTAATGTGTCTATTCAAGAAGACATAAGACTGTGTTTGTTCCCATAATTTATTTGAATATAAAAATATTGGAGGAAAACCTTTAAAAATTGATTTATGTGTAAGACATATTTACAGTGCAAAAAGGTCAAACTAAATGCTATGTAGCGCCAAAAGAAGCGCATTGACCTCCATTTTTTGTTTTGATTTTTAATTAAGCTATGTGTGTAGATTCTAAAAATATACTTGATAAAAAATTCTCATTACTTCTCATGGCAGGATCCAACCTCCTTAAGTTCAATTCAAATCGCTTACTGTGACATCATTTCGTTTAGTCAACATTAAAAAATCTATGTGAAGCGATATTTTCCTCAAATGTATAAATTTATACATGTAAATTATATATTTCACACCATGAATTTTATTTGGAGATATCTTTGTTGTTGATTTTAAACGTTGCTAAAAATTAATTGTAAAAAATAACAACTAATAAGAACCAACAATTTTTATTATGTCATATTTTGGATAATGTTTTTATAAAAACATACAACTTATTCTCTTTAACTGTGTTTTTAGATATACCCCAGAACATCATCTGTATTGCTTAACAGACTTGTTTATGCGAAAGTACGATACAACGCAATTGCCTTCAAGGAGTTATAAATGCAACTGCTAGATTCAGGATAATAAAGGAAATTACCACAGAAAATGCAAATACATGTATATCGATATATTTTACAAATGGATAATGAAAAGGAATAAAAGAAGTCCTTTTCAGAACGAAATCTTATTTTGCTGATGGAATTTTTCCTGAGTTAGATTATTTTAGGAGGCCATATATCTTAATTATCAAATTAAAAAAAAAACCCACTGCGTTTCTCAGGGTGAGACTCTGCAATTTTTTCAACTGAAAACTTGCTGAAAAGTGTCTAAATGACAGATCTCTGCCATGTAGGCACCTTTTCAGACCTTTCAGTGACTTTGATTGAATGGTAGAGTTTTCTTTTACTTGCTCTTATAAAAAAGGCTTTCTTATTAACAACATTGTAAAATGTATACGCTTTCAAGCTTCATTTCAATATTCATATTAAAATTCAGCTTTGAAACTTAAAAATTAGAATTCTAAATATTTACAACTAGTTTTGTTTTTGATAAATTTATATGATACACCTAGTTTCTGTTACTTAATTAAATAAATTTGGGCAATAGTTATCCCAATGCTTACAAAGCTCATCATTTACTATTAATGCTAATTCAGTAAAGGACAAGTTCTTTTTTCAGATGTTTGCCCCAACAGTTACATCTGGAGAAAGGAGCACAAACTCTGCTTTTCAGTGTATCACATTGCCCTCAGCTGGCAAGGAGCTGTAGATTTCTGCCACTCACTTGGTAACAGAACACGTCTGGCTGTTCTGGATACCGGGGAAAAGATAGCAACAGTTGCAGAAAACAGTGAGTATTAAGATAAACCAGGGTTGTCTGGTAAAATTGTGGACAAAGCGGGTTTAATAATAAAAAATAATCGGCGCACAGGGATGGAATTTTCAGCAAGTGTTTCTTTGTCATATTACAGCATATTTGTTTTTTAATAAAACAGAGAAAATAATAAGGTTTTTAATATACTTGAATGGACACAAGGTATGGTTCGACCAAAAAAAAAAAAAAAAAAATCAGGTTTCATCAGAGAACACTCGAGTTTTATTTCAAAATAAATAGCTGAATATAAATCAAGTAGCGGTAAAACATATTAAAATTATTGTTGCAAAACAACATCCACTCTGTCATTTTGAAAAGTTCAAAGTATTTGCGTAATTTTTGACAGTTTCCCGAGCTGTTGCGATGACATAGAGGCACATAGAGGACAAATGTTGACCTCTGATGATGTTGCGGCCCACCGGAGAGCAGTTCAACCTTATGCAGATTTATTTCTGACGCCTTTACATACTTGTTTATACTATAAGAGAAGACGGTTTTTTTTTAAATCAACCGAATTTTTTTATATGAAAATGACATGATTGACTTTTCAAGCGTTTAGATTTATAGTCCTGTGATAGACCAAAACATAAATGAATAAACGACAACTTGCAGTATTGAAAGACGCCATCAACGCAAACTCTATAACACAATAAATTAAAAATTCAGGACGTTCCATTTGTGTGAGAGATAAGTCCTTCGCCTGATTAAGGACTAAAAATCCTGTATTGGTGCAGGTGATAGCAAATTTTGTTGCAGATTATCAAAAACGGATAAAACATGACGTTGCAAAAGGAAATGTTTATGTTTTTATCCTTTCGCTCTAAGATAATACTATATATTACATACAATTTCACGTTTTTCGTAGCTGCTTATATATCTATATGCAATTTGCTATGTATATTGAGAAATATTTACTAACGAGCAGTGAAAAATTTGGAACGCATCTTTTATATATTTTTTTCACTCTACACAACTTGTTTATAATTTTACTGGACAATTCTCTTATAAGTTTCTTATAATTATTTACGTTTATTTGTTTTGCTGCATCTTCTCTTTCGCTCTTATCTTTAAAATGATCATTGTTTAAGTTGTTATTACTTTGCAATGTTTTGTTACAACGCAGGCAATGATTGATAATGTCAAAAATATCTAAACTAAATGTCAAGCAAGTAAGCTTTGTTTTAATTGTTGTAAAACATTAATATACAATTTTGGAACAATTTTTTTTATACTTTAAAAAATTACCGCTTGTTCTTACTTTATATAAAGCACTAAACAATGACCAACACACAAACAATAGAACTTTTCAAATTTTCTGTCCCTACCTCAGGATATAGAAAAGGTTAAAAGTCATGAAAGAACAAAACAAATAAAAACATCTAGCACTACAACTGCGCTACTAAACTCTATTTATTCACACTTTAATATTTTGAATTTTGATGTTGAAAACTGATAAATATGAATGAATCCGAACCACCGCAAGGCACGTCCAGTCAGTCTGGTATACTGTGGACATTGTGTAATTTGAATAAGCGACCGAATTAATTATCGTTAATTAATCACTGCGAGGTGTTAAACAGTACAACGTTGTATTCTCTCTCACATAGTATTATGACACAAAAATATAGATACCTATATAAAACAAATCGTAATGAAGGAAATTGAATACGAGTAGAACAGAATTAGAAGAAAACTACTATATTAAGAAGCCTATAAAATTGTGAAATATTTATTTAAAAACGTTTGACTAATAATCATAGCATTTTAGAAAAGATTGATTGATTGATTGTATGTTGTTTTACGTGCCATTCGAGAATTTTTCACTCATATGGAGACGTCACCATATACCGCTGAAGGGCTTCAAATTTTGGCCTTTACTCGGCACTCAGGGCCATTGAGCAGTGAGTGATCTTTATCGTGCCAACGTCTGCCGTGACACGGGGCCTCGGTTTTTAAGGTCTCAGCCGAAGGACCCGCAACTTTCACTTCAAAGTGCCGAGCGCATGGCGAAGGAACAGTTGCTACCCATTTTTTATCGACTTAGTCGCGGCCGAGATCACAGAGCGAGCGCTCTACCCACTGAGCTACCGTGAACGGTTTTTTAGAGAAGAAGAAGATAATTAGGAAAATTATGAATTTATCGGGTAGTTATAATTATGTGGAGAGAAAAGTCTTGATTGTCATCACCAAACATTTTGGCCTAACTCATGTTCATTCTGGTTAAGTCATTCAGTTTGTTAATACCATCAGGGCGGAATGACTTCAGCCTTTGCATCCAAAAGTTTTCTTTGCCTTTTCTCTGAGCATCGATCCATTTGGATAATTGTCAATTACCACTACTGTCATGTCCTCCCATTTGTGACCTTCAAGTCTGAAATGTTCCTGAACGGGTTCATTGAGTTTCTTGGTGTTAATGGTCGAACGGTGATTATTTATTCTCCTGCGGAGATCTCCCGTTTCCCCAACATACTGTTTGGAACAAACTTTACAACTGATGAGATATATGCAGTTGTCTGTTTGACAAGACAAATTCCCCAGAATTCTGTAGCTGCGGCCTGTAATGGGGCTGTTAAAGCTGTCTGAGTGAGAGCTGTGCTTACAGAGAAGACATCTTCTGTCATAGCTAGCTTTAAAGCCTGTTAGATAATGGATTGTCCAATCTGGTTCTTACTATAATGCCCTTTAAGTTCCTTGGGCGCCTGTATGCAGCGAATGGAGGTTCCTTAAAGACCTCTGCCATTCTTTTGTTTGAGAGGAGAATTGACAGGCTATTTTAAAGAATACCGCTGAGGTTCTTAAGGACGAGATGGTATGTGGTAAGCAGAGGACCCCTGCTGCTATTTTCTTTCTCCTTGTAGTAAAACAGGTTTTGTCTGTCGTGTCCTGCCATCTCATCAATAGCAGTTTGTACGTTGTGGGCTTTGAAGCCTCTTTTGCATATATGGCCCTTTAAGAGACTGCTCTGTTCCTGAGGTTTAAAACCTCGCAGTGATAAATTAACGATAATTATTTCGATCGCTTATTTAAATCACAATCGCCACAGTATACCAGAGTGACCGGACGTACCTGGCGGTGGTCCGGATTCATTTCATATTTATTAGTTTTCAACATCAAAACTCAAAATGTAAAAGAGTAAATAAATAGGGTTAAGAAGCGTAGTTGTAGTGCTAGCTGTTTTTATTTCTTACATGAATTTTTAACCTTTTCTACATCCTGAGGAAGGGACAGGGCGTCCCGAAAATTTGATAATTTCTATTGTTTGTGTAGATGGTCATTTTAAGTGCTATATATATATATATATATATATATATATATATATATATATATATATATATATATATATATGTGTGTGTGTGTGTGTGTGTGTGTGTGTGTGTGTGTGTGTAATTCCTTGCATATCAGCAATTTTGACATTTTCATATGGAACAAAAACTTAAATACATGTGGGGTTTTTTCAGAGTGTAATGTTTTTTTCTGTTTTAAAGGTGATACTAACTATTACTATTGGCTTGGAGCATCATACAATCTACCGGGAACTCCTTCGTACGGGAAAGACGCCTTTTACTGGAATTCTGGTGAACTGGTTGACCCTAGCTTGATTTCCTATCTGGATTTTGGAGATTGCCTAGAGATGGACAACTTTGAGCATCCTGCAATGATAGGATCTTATACTTGTTCCGATAGTACACCTAATCATATCATTTGTGAATTTGTTCTGTGAATCGGGATATTGAGTTCATAATGAAAATATTCAAAACCACAACATTTATTCATATGGATATGAAGTACAATTTATTAAAAAACGCATATATGAAAAGAAGTCTTTTTCTGTGACATTTAATTCGACATTTAGATGTATCGAGAATGTTTTATCAATTATCACTGTTTTTTTTTTTCCATTTATAAGTTGATTCGTTATACCCCCATTAAACTCGAAATAAAAACTGAGTGTGACTAAACTGCTTTATATTCAAATATTTTACTAGAGAAATACAAAACTAGTGCACAACAAAAGTTTATCATAAACATGATAACATCAACTTTTCCCCATCAACTTCCCTTATTCTCTTATGTAGCCATATACAATTATCACCTGCATTTGGACATTTCGTCTATCAGTTGATTCCTTACACAAAAGCGTGTTCTTCGTACAATTTCGTACTGTCAAACAATTTGATGATACAGGGGTATGAGGTCAACATCTTGCAAATTCTTCCGTCGATAGAATGACTTTATTTGGTCGATAGAATGACCTTGTTTGCAAATCAGTCTGTCGTTAGGTCGAATGTTGATTGACTTCTTTTATACAAATTGTTTTGGTTATTATTTTCAAACTGAATTAACTATGGAATTTTTTTCCGTTTACTCGATCTTGACAAAGAGCACATGGCGGATGTGACCGGTCGACAAGAGATGCTTATTCCATCATTATTCCAACATGGCACCTGATCCTATCTCTGATGTTTTCAGAAATGTCCCTATTTTGGGTATTTGAGGCCCGTATTTGCTCTGCTCTTTCTTTATAGTGTTTATAACATGTGTTGATAAACTTATAGAAATTTAAATTAAAAACTCTGATAAATCAAAAGTTTTTTATTTATTTTTTGCTGGCAAGAATTAAAGAAGAAAAATACTACAATTTTATTCAAATAATGCACACCCCCCCCTCCCCCCCCCCCGCACACACACACACTGAGAGAGAGAGAGAGAGAGAGAGAGACAGAGAGAGAGAGAGAGAGAGAGAGAGAGAGAGAGAGAGAGAGAGAGAGAGAGAGAGAGAGAGAGAGAGAGAGAGAGAGAAAGAGAGAGAGAGAGAGAGAGAGAGAGAGAGAGAGAGAGAGCATTGTTTACCAAATTTTTTTCTGATTCTAATCTTTTTGTCTAAAAAAGAGATTTTAACGGAATGGCTTAGGACAAATATTTTTTTTGAGTTTCAATAATATAAACTTCACCCATTTTAATCTGATAGTACAATCTGATATATTAGACTCTAAGCTCTTTTAAGCTCACTTTACTTACCGGTATATTGTCCTTATTCTGCTACATGTAGTATCTAAATTATATTAGGTCAATTATATAATTCTTGAGATATTTTGTCTTAATGGATTTGTGTTTATATTTTTTATATTCTTCGTTATATGGCATTCAATAATTTAAAATTTTACATAAGCGTAAACATACATTTTATTTTTAGAGTGATATTGAAAAACACAAAAATCGTAACATTCTGAATGAAATCCTAAGAAAAGAAAAAAAAGTTTGTAAGAAAAAAACAAAACAAAACAAAACAAAATTAATTCCATACGTCCTCAACTACACCATAAAAATACCTTTGTTCTTGCATATTTTCTTCAAGTAATAAAAAAATTTAATATTGATTTATTACATGGTCATTCTGCTCATTAAAACAACTTTTAATTTAATTAATATGTTTCTGTCAACTAAAGTCTTCAGTAAACGTCATCATTAAATAAATCTTATTGAGAAACAAGCTAATTCAGAGAATTTGTGTCCCCCGCTTAGGGAAAGAAAGAAGAGCATGCGCAGTTCGGGGGAGGGGGGTCCACAATCCCCCTCCCATTTTGTAGAATTATTAAATGTATACATGTATATTGAAGCAAATAAAAAAATGCCAATAAGGATATAAAGATTTGATTGCTTATTCTTTAATATGTGTATAGAAGATTCTTTCTAATATATAAAATATTTATCACACTGTAATAATGATTTTATGAGTTTGTACACGTCATAACTTTTTCACTTCACATGTTGAATAGTATCATTTGGTAAATCAAAAAAAAAAAAAAAAAAAAAAAAAAAAAAAAAAAAAAAAACATAAAAGAAAAAAAGGATCGTCCAGGATTTGAACCCGGGCCTCTCGCTTGCTAAGCAAGCATCATACCCCTAGACCACGGATGCACTTGACTTTACTGCAAATTAAATGCAAACATTAGGTCACATAAAATGTTTATATTCACGTTCGATATTTTTAACATTTTACACAATACATGTTGTCTAATTTAGCCTTTACTAAACAGTACTAATAGATGTAATTAGAATATAAAGTCCGCCGACAACCTGTATTATACGTAATAATTCTCCACATGCTCCTGTACTTAAAATAGTGCCAAGCGACTTTTAATTCAATAAATAAAAAAAAAAAAAAAAACGGGACGGGACGGCACACTTTGAGAGGGGCGAGAAAGGCCATAGGGATTTGTGGTATAAAATTTCATTGCAAAAGCTCAAAAGCGTCTTGAGATATGGACCGGAAACGAAAGTGTTACACACAGAGGGAATTTATGAATTTACGACCTTGAACTTTGACCTTTTGAACTCAAAATCAATAGGGTTCTTCCTTAGGCCACAGGGAGTTGTTATTAAAAATTTCATTGCAAAAGCTCAAAGAATTCGCGAGATATCGTGCGGAAACGAAAGTGTTAAAACAGACAGAATTTATGACTTTGACCTTTGACCTTTTGACCTCAAAATCAATGGGGTTCTTTTTTATGCCATAGGGAGTTGCTATGCAAAATTTCATTGCAAAAGCTCGAAGGGTTCTCGAGATATCGCGCGGAAACGAAAGTGTTACAGATAGACAGAAATACAGACGGACGGACGGACGGACAGACAGACCCAAATTAATATCCCCCATTTTCAGTGAAAGCAGTGGACAAAAAACAACAGAGTTTACGAAAATATGATAAACTTCTGAAAAGTAACCTAGATACATTGAATATGACTGTACAATCGACAATAACAATAACGTGATAAAAGTTCCTCTTTCATATACAGGATTTGTACTGAATATATTTTTCTGAAGAATTGTTTTAAATAACTTTCCCTGATTCTCAAAACGTATTTTTACAATTCTTCTGGAAATTATTGTCTAATAGATCTATGAAGAAGTATTATTTGTTCAATAGAATTAAGTTTTTCCCTCTTCTTTAGAGGAAAAGGCATGCACATATACACTAAGATACAATACAAACAAGAGGCCCAGGGGCCACATCGCTCACCTGAGCACTGTGGCTAGGAAAAAAGAAAAATCAGTTTAGTGTTGAAAAGCTTAAATGCATAAGTGGTCCCAACCTACCCCTAAAAGGGACTGGGGGGTATGATTTGAACAAAATAAATCTACACTTACTAAGGATGCTTAGATATTTTTTTGACTGTGACATTTTTCTCTACAAATTGAACTTTCATTGTGGTCCCACCCTACCCCTGGAGGTCATGATTTGAACAAACTTGAATCTACACTATCTTTGGATGCTTCCATATAAATATGACAAACAGAGGCTTTGCTGTTCTTGAGAAGATTTTTCCTATATATTCCTATGTAAAACTTTGATCGTTCATTGTGGCCCCACCCTACCCCTGGGGGTCATGATTTGAAAAAAACTTGAATCTACACCACCTGAGGATGCTACCACGTAAATATGACCAATCATAGCTTTGCTGTTCTTGAGAAGAGGATTTTTGAAGATTTTTCCTATATATTCCTATGTAAAACTTTGATCGTCCATTGTGGCCCCACCCTACCCCCAGGGGTCATGATTTGAAAAAACTTGAGCCCACACCATCTGAGGATGCTTCCACAGAAATGTTATCAATCATTGCTTTGTTGTTCTTGAGAAAAAGATTTTTGAAAATTTATTCTATATACACCTATGTTATACTTTGATCGTCCATTGTGGCCCCACCCTACCCCTGGGGGTCATGATTTGAACAAACTTTAATCTACACCACCTGAGGATGCTTCCATATAAATATGACCAATCATAGCTTTGCTGTTCTTGAGAAGAAGATTTTTGAAGATTTTTCCTATATACACCTATGTTATACTTTGATCGTCCATTGTGGCCCCACCCTATCCCCGGGGGTCATGATTTGAACAAATTTGAATCTACAATACCTGACAATAATTCCACATGAGTTTCGTCTTTTCTGGCCCATTGGTTCTTGAGGAGAAGATTTTTCAATAATGCCATTAATTTTTTGCTATTTCGTAATTATCTCCCCTTGGAGGAGGGCGTGGCCCTTCGTTTGAACAAACTTGAATCCCCTTCACCCAAGGATACTTTGTGCCAAGTTTGATTGAAATTGGCCCAGTAGTTCTGGAGAAGAAGATGAAAATGTGAAAAGTTTACGACAACGCCAACGACGACGAAAACGCCGACAGACAACAGACAAATTTCGATCAGAAAAGCTCACTTGAGCCTTCAGCTCAGGTGAGCTAAAAAGAACAGGGGTACATTTATACTTACAATTCTGGTTTCTCTGCGTGTTGTTCAGTTATTCTGTATTTTCGGTGTATACAAGTAATTATTAACACACATTTTTATTGAATTAATTTTCAATGCGACACGGAAAGTTCAACTCCAGGTGGGGTCATAAATGCGAAAAGAGAGATAAAGCTGTACTATTCCTTTAACAAACACTCGGTATAGTTGGAATAAGACATAAGAAGAAAACATGGTGTGAGAAACATTAATGATGAAAAAAGAATATTTCATTACTTTTTTTTTTTTTTTTTTTTTTTTTTTTTTTACATATTTTTTTTTATGATACTTTCTCATAACATGCGATATCAGCTGTAGTTCACGCAGTTCAGGGTGTTATAGAAAACGTGAAACCATTTCCTTTTGGTTATATTTTTTGTTTGTGTTTCAGTTAGTTAAAGCATAATTCAGAATTGTACAAAGAGAATTAAAAAAAAAAAAGAAAGAA